TTATTATTGTACTCATAACCGATTCCAGATTCGTGCCACACGTTCCTATCTACCACCATACCGTACGTAGACCCACATCAAGTAAACAATTAATGGGGTCAAGTAAGAAACTTGAAAACTACCATTACCAACACAACCAGAGAAATGGCGTTTATTCTTGTTTTTGTTTCTGACGGCTTCTGCACAATGGTAGCAACGTAGATTAAAAGAGGACTGAACCAATTGAATCGCTGATTGGACCCGGGAGCCTTTTTTGTTCAAGACACTGGACAAGGCTTAAACGATTTTTGAGTAGGAGTATGTGCCTTTTTTCTTCRATCACAGATCATGTTCAAGGAGGAAAGAATAATACTAYGAGTAATATTGTGAATAGAACCACGATAAAAACGAATACAACATCACAGCACAAGGCATGGCATTGTACTCAGCATAGCACAACACACMGAACRACACATAAAAGCCATTTCACTACACTTGTAAGCTYCGAAATCAATCARTACAATTCATCGCCGATTGTTGTACATCATCATTTGTCTACTCCATATTACAARCAAGTGACAAAAAGAAAAAAAGATCTTTAGTCAAAATGAATGACGAATCGAATAAAGAATGGACCTACTACTTCGGTCGAGGAGGCGCTTGCAACCAACAGCGCAAGCAATCTAAGGTGGTCGGTTTGTTGCAGAAACTGGCTCTYCGCTATAACCAGTGCCATCGAGAAGAGAAAAGACTTTTTGCGAAATGCGAAGTCTATAATATAGTTCTTGAAAAGGGAGGTTCRTTTTTCGAAATAACGAACAAAATAGCCGTCGACGTCACGGCGGACGAAATGAAATCAACTACAAAGATCATGCAAGTTTTTCGAGATATAAATAAACGTAACAAGAAGAGTAAAGGGTCTGCAAAGGCGAAAAAGAAGCCATCTTTCACTTCTCGAACGAAAAAAAATAAGCCGTCTTTTTGCACTTTACAAACTACWAGAGCAAGAGAATCACGAACGACCAAAATGAAAATAAAAACTCAACCAAAACGCAGGTGCGTCAAGCCTAGCATAATTGAAGCGCCAATCATGAATTGTGTGAGGGATGCTTTACTGATGGCCAGCGCGAAAAGTCAATCGCTTCCTGACACAAGGACAAACAAGCYGGGGTTGGGTACTCCGGTCAGGGGTAACGGATCCGAGCTGAAGCGACTTATTGCGGAAAGTAATCATCGCTTCTCAACAAATAATGAAACATTTGATTTAATGGCCGTGGAACCACCTCAGCTAGAGAACTCGTTTAGTGCACTGATCATGGCGGATGAGGTAACAACGGAACTTCCAACTGATTCTCAAATGAGTGTGAACCTACACCTGCACAAAAGAGTACAGCGACTAGAAAATCTTGTTGGGATGCTAATGCAGCAGATGTAGAGAGTCTAGTGTAGCWAAATACTTAAACATGGAAACAGGAATCACTCGACGCTACGTGTAYCAAAAAATATGCAGCGATCGGATTTGCGCAACACAATCTGCTCTCTGGGCTRGCATCAAATTCCAAKGAAAATGTTCCGCCCGATGGTGACTACTTTGACTAAAAAACTTGCTTGAACTCCTGTTACAGCAAAATCAGATGCGCGTGAAAATATTTGGTCAGCAAGAGCACGCAAAACTATTTGGTTGCAAGGAATAAAATTTGAGCACGTTCCCTGCTCTACCAGGGCCCTCCAGTACCCACGCGCGCATCCCCCTTTTCGAATTCCACCCCTAGAAAAACGTGGGTTGAACAGCAAGATATTTCCTTGCTAGAACAGTCAATGTTGGAAATTGGTTCTTTTTATTTGCCCAGCACCATCATTGTAGTAGAGGATTGGAATGCCTGCTAGTCTTGCCACTCTTCTTGTCTTTCTCAAAGGGTGCAAGTCAGGGATGGGACATCATGATGTGCCTAGTAGTAGTACTACTAAGCAGCTTCACACCCAGGCAGGTTGCATGCTTCCTTGATACTCTCCTGATGAGGATTGCAAGAAACTGGGACCTTAGGAAACGATGTATTACAGGTTACCTTAAGCTACTGTGCCCAAGACTAAGTAAATATGCTCATCTCCTACGTAGTAAACCAGCAGTACAAAATGGCATGTGCCAACTACTAATGAAAGCAATTGTACTACTACTAGTAGTATTGCCTACCAGAAATCGACTTAAAAGCTACTTTCTTTAAGTTACTTTTAAGCTACTTTAAAGTAGCTTAAACATTACTTTTAAGCTGCTTTAAAGTAGCTTAAACATTACTTTTAAGCTGCTTCAAAGTAGCTTAAACATTACTTTTAAGCTACTTTAAAGTCACTTTCCGGTTGCCCCTATCACGTAGCAATTCTACTACTATAACCGCTGAATTCTACGTTAAGAACAGCTACTTTAAAGTAGCTTAAATGTAGCTTTACAGTCACTTAAACACTACTTTAAAGTCACATGAAAGCTACTTTTAAGTCGCTTAAACGCTACTTTAAAGTCGCTTAAAAGCTACTTTTAAGTCGTTTAAACGCTACTTTAAAGTTGCTTAAAAGCTACTTTTAAGCTACTCTTAAGTGACTTTATTTTTACCTTAATTAAAAATTTTGATTCCAGTAAGTAGCTGAGCCATAGGTCCAGAAGCTTAAAGTTTCTGGTTATGAGTCGTTTCTGAACGTCCCTGCAGCTTGCTCTTTCTGTGCCTATTACTGCAGCATGATCATCAAAGGGTCCTTCTCTCTTGTACTACTGTTACTAGTACTAGTGCCACTATCACCAACAGCTGASGCTGCCAAATAGCCATTGCTGCTGCTACTAGTAGTATCTTAAAGTGCCCCACTGGTCTCTTGCCAGTCTTCCAACAGTATTAGTAGCTACTAGTAGTATGACCCCTTTTACTAGTAGTAGTTTAGATGGTCTATCATGGATTCACATTAAATTTCAGGCTTGCAATGGACGATGATGTGCACTTGTGGAGTGCAGCTTTGCACAGTTGCAAAAATTTTGACCTTGGAGTGCAGTGTYGTTGCAACAGTCAAATACAGTTGAGCTATGGACCCCAAACTAAACAGCCCACTTTTGGGACATGTGCCCTTTTTTAGTAGAAGAAAATGCAGTAAACAAAACAACTATGCTGGCTGTTTGTTGGAGTTCATTGATTTGTTGTCAAGCTATGGTGGTGTTCATTGTTCCCAGTGTTGTCTTTTTGTGAAGAAAGAGGTGTTGTTCTTACAAACAGACCACCAGTGGAATTTTGTGTGGGCATAGTACTAGTACTACTTGTGGTGGTACTACCACTAGTAAGAACTCTTGAAACAAGCACAACATAAATCCACTTGCTTCTGTTGTAAGACCAGTCTCAAACCAACCCATTTTCCAAATATCTTCCCTGTAATTTGTGAACAGTTCTTGTTCAGCAATATTGATTGTTGGGAATTGAGTTCAGGTGTACTCCAGTGTTACTTGTTTGAGTTTGAGGATGGTTAATTTTTTATTCATACTATTCTTGAGGATATCAGAATCYCCTAGCATTAGGAGCTGTTACAGTTGCTGTGCAGTGTTTTGAGAAGTTAAAGTGACCACTCAATTTGAACTCTTTTTGAGTCCCCTTATCTATTCAACCTTCTCAGCATGTGTTAATGTTAATAATGACTTCATAATCCTGGTATTCATTTGTTTGTTTCACAGACTTGAAAAAGAATCTAACTTTATATTTAAACTTGTGAACCAGAAGAGGCACAATATGGCCAGAACCATAGCTTCTCTTGACAGGGGAGAAGAATGCTCCTAGCTRCTCCAAGGGGCAGTACATCCCTCCAAGGAGGATTTGTGGAGGCAAGACCAGGTTCTATGAATACTGACAARCCAATTAAAGCTTGATGCTGGACTCAGATGGCATAGAAAGAGTTGGTTCACAGTTCAGATGGATGAGAACCATACCATTATCATTTCAAAGGGCACTGCCAAGCCATAAGGCAAGGCACCTTGCAGTGATCAAGGAAATGAGTGCCAAGCACACTGCCAAGCCAATTAAGGCAGGCATCCTTGCAGTGTACACAGAGACAGGTGTTGGAGGAGTCCTAAAAAAGAAAAAGGAAAGCCAAAAGAAAAAATAGAACTCACACATTTTTCCAATTTAAAGCCAGGCCCAAAACCAAAAGGAGCAGCAACTGTTTGTGAATCATCTTTTTAGAGAAGAGAACAGGGGACCAATAAGATCAACTAGTAGATACTGGGGGCTGGGGGTGTTGTTGTTGCTGTCTGGCACAAGTGTTGGAAAAAACAACATCCTGACCAGAAACTGAATCTGGTCCAAACAACTGGGGTAAGGAGGATGCTGGTGATCATAGCAGCATCAGCTGGTGGAATTGCTTTCATGGGAGTGTGTTGGGTTGTTGTTATTGCTGTCCAACAYGGATGTCAGAAACAACAACATCTTGACCAGAAAACACTGCTTCCAGTCCGTGGAAATTAATAAAACTGGAACTGGTCCATGGAGCAAAGCTGGTGGTGAATTGTCTTTAAAACTGAGTATGTAGCCTATACTCTGCTGGGTGTTGTTCTTCAAAGGAAAGTTCTTGGTTGAATACTGAGGGCTGGGCTTGTTGTTGTTTTTCAATAATGTCAGAAACAAAAACAACAACATCAAGACTGGAAGATAGCTTCCAGCAGTCTGTACTAAGAACTTGGGATGGATCCAGCTGAGGCAAATTCAATCACCAGCTGGTGGGGTTACTGGGGATGCAAATATCATCATCACCATCTTGATTGGAAGAATGCTCTAGTACTAATAGGAGCTGGCTGKGTTGTAATTTGTTGCTGCTGTCCAACACAAATGTTGGAAAAAACAACATCATGACCAGAAAACACTGGTGCTTCCAGTCCATAAATACTGGAACTGCATGGAGATGCTGGGGTATMTGCTTTAAAACTGAGCATGATTTAGCATATACTCTAGGCATTGTTCTTCAAAGGAAAGGTCTTGGTTGAACACTGGGGGCTGGGGTTGTTGTTGTTACTTTCCAACACAAATGTTGGAAACACCAACATYGTGACCAGAATCATCTTCTTCTAGTCTGTAAATAATACTGGAACTGCATGGAGATGCTGGGGAATCTTTAAAACRAGTATGTGTTTCACAGACTTGGATACTACTATTGTATTGTATAGAGTTGGCTAGCAAAAATCTATGATCCAGTCATAGATTTTGAGTCCTTRTTTTTGYGTGTAATGACTACTTTGACTAAAAAATTGAAGATATACAAAATGCATGTGCCCAGCAGTAGTACTACTTGAATTTTTGAATCCCACCAGTCTTGCRACCAAATAGCTAGTTTTTCTTGCACGTGCATGCTATAGCCCTAGTGCTAGTCAAATTTTTAATCCCACAAGTCATTATCGTATAGCGTGGGGCACGCGTTTCCTGCCAAAATTATTGTACATTTTTGAATATCGAATATCTGTACATGATGTATATCAATGAATA